GTGATTGCAACAAGCTCATCCGTGAAGAAAGGCATTGTCGGTGTTGGTGGCATCGCACGAGACACCCTCTTCAACAGGACCAGCGAGCCCGTGACAAGATTTGCTGTAACCCTTGGCACGAGGGAGGAACAGAACCCATACACAGCAGAACTAGCAGCCATCGCAATACGCAGCTTCGGCCAGGAGAGGTGATTTTGTTCTTCGAACGAGAGGAGGGAGAGACGTGGATCTTGGATACCGAGGCCAGTGAGTTTTTACCACCGTCGGATTGTTATGGCTAGAGAATGCTGATGGCGGGATAGACACCATCCGGCGACACGATAATAGCGCACTCGTCGTAGACCACATCCGCCAGGAATACCCCGACTATGTGCCGGAGTTCCCCGAGGAGACGAACCATTACCGAAACCGGGTCGCGCTGCATGCACCCACGGTCCTGGCGGACTATGTTGAGGACTTGCGACGTCTGGTGTTCATACCCACTGGAGGTCTTGGCCCCCGCGAAGCAACCATTGTATCGACGGATTGGGGGCCAGGCATGGCCGAAGTGAGGGAAGCTTTACTGCAGCAGTACGGCTGGCCTGAAGCGTTCCGCGCCGAGGAGTGGAGGCGGGATGGACGCACCATCTACGAGGCAGCGAGGCAAAGAGTCAGCTGGGGCCCGGGAGGTTTTCGACTGCCGATGAATGAGATGCGTGTTCCCGAGCTGCATCCCGATCTTAGGTAGAGAGGACAACCTCGGAAGAAGTTGTTACGTGCCAGAAGTGCCCGTGCAGCCCGCAGCGCAGCAGGCATTCACTCCACTCACGCTACACCCTACTTCCAGGTTTCCCACATCGCATTGGATAAACCCCCACTTTCCCGCGGACTGTTGGAAAGGAGCTTTCTTCGCCGGCATGAGAGCGACAGTGGTTAAGACTGAGCAGGGCAACCGCATCACAAAAGCGGTCATTGAACGCCGATTGAAGACTGGAAACAAAATTCATCGCAGAGAACTGCCCGAGCCCGCCAAACAGGCATCAAGAGCTCGAAGACCATCCACTTGGTGAGATATTCAAGAAAGCTGAACATGACCACTTACAAGAGCACGCAAAAATGCGCTCGTGGACTGAGATTCAGACACGTGATCCACGCGCACGAGGGTACAAGGTGCTCAACTGCCGATGGGTATACGTCTACAAATTTGACAAGCATGGCAGATTCATCAAGGCGAAGGCGCGCCTAGTCGTTAGAGGCGACCAACAACTTCGAAACGGAGACTAGAATACTTACGCCGCGACGCTTGCGGGGAGATCGTTCAGAGCCATCATGGCAATCGCCGCACGTTTCGACCTCGAGCTCTTGCAATTCGACGCCGTCAATGCCTTCGTGAACGCCGACCTCGACGAAGACGTCTTCATGCGTATGCCACCAGGACACAGGCGCGCAGGGGTGGATACGGAAACTCAACAAGCGCTCTACGGACTCCGCCGGTCGCCACTTCTCTGGCAACGAGAACTCACACAGGCGCTTAGAGCGCTAGGGTACACTCCTGTGCCTCACGAACCCTGCGCTTACAGAAGGAACGGCGTGATCACCTTCTTCTACGTCGACGACATCGTCATCACGTTCAACAACGCCAAACGCAAAGAAGCACTCGGCACCGTTGAACAGCTGCGGAATCGCTACCAGCTCACTGGGGGAGATGAACTGCATTGGTCCTAGGCATCGAAATCATCAGAGACCGCAAGAAGCGCTTGATCTGGCTTTCGCAGTCCTCAAACATCGAGAAAATTGCCGCATTGGCACAATCAAAACCACTTGCGCGCTCTCCAATGACGAAGGAGGAACTCTTGCCATTTGAAGGGATCGCCACCACGCGGGAAATCACAGTCCACCTTCGGAAGATTGGCTCCCTACTCTACGCGGCTGTCATTACACGCCCTGACATCGCATTTGCCACTTCACGGCTCGCTCGATTCACGACGAACCCAGGACCAGAGCACCAGAAAGCTGCGGACCGAGTACTCTGGTACTTAGGACAAACCAGCACCCTTGCTCTGCAGTTGGGAGGTGCGGATGATCTGCGCATCGCCAGTGATGCGTCACACGCCGACAACACGTTGGACCGCAAAAGCAGCCAGGGATTTGCCATCAAGTTCTTCGGCGGTTTGATCGCATGGCGCGCCAACAAGCAAGACACGGTCACGACTTCCACTACAGAAACCGAGCTCCTAGCGCTCTCGCAAGCAGCCAAGGAAGGCCTCTACATCAACCGCATGATCCGAGAGCTAGGCATCAAACTCGACACGCCGCGTATCACTATCGAATGTGACAACAAGCAAACGATCCGCCTTGTGACGGAAGAGCTCGCCAAGCTGAAGACGAGCTTACGGCATGTGGACATCCACAACCACTGACTGCGCCAGGAATATGCGCGTGGGAAGATTGATGTGACGTACACGGAGAGCGCCAAAATGATGGCTGATGGCCTCACGAAGGCGCTCGTGCAAGGAACGTTTGAGAACTTCAGAGAGCAGATGGGACTTGTGGACGTCCGTGAACAGCTACGGAGCGCAGGAGGAAGGAGGACAGTGCTACTTGACGCTATTCAAAAAGGATGGAAAAGCCAGCCTCGCCCTCGGGGGCTCAACTGGGGGGGTGTGTTGGAAGTGATGGCACTTGAAAATCGGGAACTGGGCTGCCGGTGTCGTACCCTGGTCAGGGGTAATACAGAGCTGTTACATAGGGTCTGCAAGGTACCCAGATAACTTGAGGAGACGAAGAAAAACTCAATCGACAGATTCTGGGCTGGTCCTAAGCACTCGAAGAAGTTCAAACGGCTCCCATAAAGTGTGTCAACGTGGAATTGTGGCTGTTGGCTTTCCAACAGCAATATACTGCCTGAGGCCGTTACAAAGTTGACCATATACGTGTGTAGAAAGATCTAGACTGGTGCCTGAACCCTTGGGGCCGATGGGTCCTTAAGCAAAGTCCACCTAGAACCGGCAAGGGTCGATATCACGACAGCTTCACTCAGTTAGCACCAGTTTCAGGCTCAATGAAGGGCAGGGTTCTGCATCTATCCACTTCTACCCACGCGACCCTGAAAGTAGATAGAATAGATGGATTAGTCAGCTGGACTGAGATAGAGTTGATAGAATAGAGAGCTATTCTATCAACGTAGATACCATTCACGTAGATTGTTCATGCTTAGCGGATGAAAGATGTTCCGATAACAGGACGCTCACGACTGCTGAACACTTCTACCTAGCCACAAGCCGGTCACCTCATGCTATGCCACCTTCAATTTGAAGCAATATCTCATCCTCAAGCGCCTTAATGCCTGCCTCTCGGAGGGCGATTCCGTCATAATCATCCGTCAATCCGGCTTTCACCCACGATCTAATCGTCTGGGCGGCAGAGATCACGTCAGTCCTGAGCCGCGTCCGTCGTGTCGTTACCATGCAGCCAGCAGCGGAAAATATTCTCTCATACTCGGCTGCCATCGGCGGGACGTTGAGCACGTCAAAAGCCATCTTTGCCAATCGGGGATATTCGAATCGGCGGTCCACCCAGTACTTGATGGGGTCGGCCTTTGGGTCAAGGTATCTGCCCTGGATTGAGAGAAACCAACGATCTAGTTCATCCACCGTTTGTGAAGACGACGGCCTACTGCTAATCGTGCTGAGGTTGCATTTTCAGGGGATGGCTCGCTCGTCCTCATCAAGATCCGAGTGATCCATATCTTGGGAGGTCGGAGATGACACGCTCCATCGAGGATCGGAGTCTCGATTTCGATATTGCTGTTCCCAGAGACCACGTACCATCTTCTCTGCCTCAGCTGCCCACTCACGCCCTCTCTTCTTAGCGGCCATGGCCCGATCAGTGAGAGGCCTTGTTCTGGATGGTCCTGGAGGGCCCGGGTGAGATACTGAAGACCGAATCCGGGATGGTGGCTGGGGCAGCCTCGAGAAGGCTGTGCGAGGTACTCTGTTAAAGTGCCCAGATATTAGTACTCACTTGGCAATCGCAATCTACCCACTTTGAATCTACGTAGATGAGGTTTGGGTAGAGTGGATAGAAGCTTGGCAACAGGCAGCATAGAGTGGATTGAAAGCACTGCTTTCTATCCACTAGTAGATTCGAAATCTACTTAGGTAGATAAATGCTGAACCCTGGACGCCTTAGGGCGCTGGCGAGCACGAGCGTCCAGGGAAGATAGCCAGTATATAGTCACTCGTTCAGGAGGGCTCTGGAGTCCTCCAGTAAGCAATACAAGCAGTTAGCACACCTACTGTTGAGACATTTGCTTGTGCACTTGTTGTGAACCTTTTGGTTCCACCGAACCTCACCCCGTTGTCAATTATAACCTTCAGGAGTCCCTTTCAGAAGTTGGGGCTTTCAGATTCGTCACACTGCGTTCTCCAAGTGTTCAACGTCCTATCTTCAGCAGCTAAAGCGGGATCTGCTGGTTGAGGCTGTGTAGTGTTAGTGACTATATACTGGCTATCTTCCCTGGACGCTCGTGCTCGCCAGCGCCCTTAGGCGTCCATGGTCGCCAGTGCTCGCCAGCGTCCCTGAACGTCCGTGTGGTCGTTCTTGGTGTTGGAAAGCCAACAGCCACGATTCCACGGTGATCACACAGATGATGGGAGCTTACAACTGTGGGTTTGAGATACTCGGAGCATCCCAGATGTTCTTGATTGAAGGTTGTTCTTCTCTCACGTCTCCAGCGAAGGGGGAATCGCCCTGACCTCGTTGCCCAGCGCCTGGGTTACCCCTCACGTTGCCTGACGCTCAGTTGGGCAGCCATGCATCCAACAGCAGGGCACTTGCAGCTGAGCGTCCGAAGTTCCAGTGCCACGACTTTCCAACAAGTCTATACATCTACACAACTCGGCTACGAAGTCTCCCATACTTGTCGGGCGCCACCATATTCTCGTAACGCTTTTCTGTTCCGCTCCACCATCCATCTCACAAGCAATTCTGGGCCTTTAATGCAGCTTCCTTTCCTATTGAGACAGATTCCTTTTACTCCCACTCTTCCTCGCTGGCAGCGTCAATCACTTGCCTACCACAGGCAGGTCCAGGCCACCATCATCCAGCAGTCACAATCCCACTCTTTGATGGAACTGCTGTAGCACCTCCGGACATTTCTCGAAATGCGCAACAGGCTCCCAGCTATTAAGCTCATGCCCATATCCTGCCCACTTGACCAGGTACTCCCACCGCCCTTTCCGCCGTCGCCGGTCCAGAACGTCCTCAACTTGAAAATAGTCGCCGTTTTGAACCTCCTGAACAGTGGAAGTCACTCTTGAAGGGCGAGCGCGCGCCGTCGAAGAAGCCTGCTCTGCTGTTGGTTTGCGCCGCTGAGTTTCCGGTGTGTAGTGATCTCGTCCATGAATCGTACAAGGGTTCCACGTGAACTGCATCTGAAAAGTCGCTACCCCGTCCACCAAAACGCGCTTGAGGACCGCGTCAAGTGGCCATTCCTCAAAGCTTGTGGAAGCGACCTCGACTGTCTCCTCTTCCAAAACGGACCCCGCTGAAGATCGCGGCTTGGAAATGCTGCGCTGACTTTGGCGGCACTTTAAGCCTTGAATTGTTGGTGGTCTTTGAGCCTGTAGTGAAGGGGAGTCGGTGCGACGCAGACGTGTCTGCCGCTTGGGCACTGTTCTGCGGATTGTAGGGGCCGAAGTGTTTACCCTGCGACGCTTCCCTCGTGGCGGCTGGACGACATCCTTATCCTTGACCTGCTTGGCGTTACTTCCCACAATGGGAGAGCAGTCCTCCATGTCGTCGATATCGCAACGTCGACGACAAACGATGTGCTGAATATTGGCCTGGTTTTGGCTGGCGGATGGCTGTATGGACGGCGCGGTATTGGCCAGCTCACCTTCGTTGCCGCTCTCATCGCCCGACACACTTGGCATGCCTACCAGACTCTCCTGCGCGTGCGGCGGCACGACAGAACTCTCTTCATCCTGCTTTCCTCCGTCGTCCGGAACCTGAGGATGGCGGTGTTCTGGGTCGCTTGTCCGAACGCTGTCGCCGCAGTGATGGTGCTGTGAGAGGCAGCGGCTATCGAACACCTGCTGTAGCTCACCACCATGACTGAAGGCGGCCCGGCGTGGACCCTGGGGCCGACAATGAGGATTCAAGATAGACTGCGACTGATCGGCTTCTGCATCGTTGTATCCGCTCTTGGCGGCACGTCTGGCTTGCAACCTCCGCTGGAGCGCCTGGTGTGAAAATGGGGACCGCCTTTCCCACAACTCGTTCTCAAGGCATATGGAACCGTCGTGATTCGACGTCGTTCCGCATGACTCTTCGGACGGCCGAGGACCGTGCTGCATTCCATGACCATAGCATGTGGCCCCGCGTTCGGCGAGGGAAGCAGCTTCCGTCTATGGAACAGTGGTATCGCGTGAAGTGTTGTCGGGAGTGGATGCCTGTCCTGGCTCAAACGCAGCACAGCTAGCCGGAACGAATTGGGTCTGCGTCGCGTATACAATCTCAGGAGAGCCAGTCAATGGCTCCAGAGAAGGTCCTCGGCTATCCATCCGTTGCTGCTGGTTTGCAAACTCGTCGTCTGGGCCAGGCCCAATGGTGACTGAATGCTCCGGCGCGTCGCTCTCATCGGAAGCAGCGTCAACCCTTCTGCCTGCT